AGCACTAAAAAATGATTTAGAAGTAAAATAGATTGCAGAATTGATTTTACTGATATTACTACCAGTAATATCCTTCACAGTACAGAATTCAGAGCAATTAGATATTTCCAAACCAGCTCATAGGGCTCAATCAAATCTTGACAGTGAACTAAGATGCCCCCACGGAACGCACCCCACACCACAGCTCCATTGCCCACAGCACTGCACCGGCCTCACGAGTTTGGAGCTGGAGATCCAGTCAACATTGAGACAAGGGACATGAGTGCTGGTCATGAGCCTGTGGAGTCTCGTCGTGCAGTGAGTGAGACACGCTAGGGCTCCAAAGGTGCGGGTGGGTACGCCCGCCCACGGTTACAAGGGGTGCGATCTGCCTCTAGTGAGAACACCGTGTAAATCCTGACTTTCATGCACCGAGTCTCCAAGATCTCCACCTCCTGGCTTCACGTGCTGCTCCGGCAGCCCTGAGAGGCAGGCGGGAGGCCACGCTGCTCTCAGCATCGGCAGTTTGCATGTAGAGTCTGAAAGTGCACAGTCACCTTGGCAGTGATGTGAAATGAGGCAAATGCGCTATCTCTGTAATAGAGGCCTGCCCTGCTGGCAGCGCAGTCGGCAAGTGCTGTCCTGATGGGCCCAAACTCTGTCGTTTACTCTTCTGACACATTTTCTCTATTTGTGAAAAGTAATATGGATTGTTTAAAATTATAAGTTATTTTTCATCTTTAAACCCCAAAGGTCAGTTAGACACACCATTAGGCCACAGACAGGCGACTCTGGCTAAGCTCAGTGGCCTGGTGGGTCACTCCCCGCTGGACAGCTGCCCTCCCGCTGACAAAATTCCCAGACATCACCCAAACATGCACTGTTATCTCCTGTTAGACTGACAGGTAAACGATCAGAGTCACTGAGAAGTGGGTCTACAGAACAATAGGGCACTGACAGTGTGAGTGAACCCGTCAGGCCCTCTCAGGACACTCTCGCAAGCAGTCAGCAGAAAGCTAGACGTGACCGAGGAACTCCTGCGTAAAGTCACCAAGACGAGTGCATACAGACCTCTCTGAGGCTCAGCCTCGGGGGTAACCTTATTCCAGCCAGAAATGTTTGCGTGCCCAACCCCTGCCGACCTCAAAGGACACCTTTGTGTAAATAGAGCTGAAATGTTTACATCCATGGAGGTGTTTTCCAACGTTATTTCTAAGCATAGTTGCATCATGAAGTTTTCCTTTAGTATTTGTCTACATTTGCCCTTATTTCTTATTTGATTGAACTATGTATCATATAATTACCTCAGCAAACATTATTTCAGCAGTGGGAACAGTTTTCTATTTGTCTGAGAAGACAAGTGTTTTTATAAGTGAATGTTTCATGTTTTAAAAATATAGGGCAACTTTATTTTTTGTTCCTTTTTTTTTTTTTTTTGGCTGAAACTGAACATCTGAAAAGCAATACTATGGGTTTCATATTTCTCCACTAACATATTTTATTTGAAAACATCCACATGAAAGTTTGGCTAAAAGGATATTCACTCCAAGAAGCAAAATGGTTTCTACCCCAACAAAAATCTTAATCAGAGAGATTGGAAAAGAGTAACACAGAGCGATTCTGTTCTTCCCATTACCTGAACGGTATTTGAAATAAAAAAATTACTCCTGGCCACTTTGCTTTCATAGAACAGTGAATTTCATGTTATTCTTTCCAACAAGGTTACCAATTTATCAAACATTAATTTACCAAAAGCCAATACCACTGAGATAAGCTATTTATAGAATTTAGTGGCAAAAAAAGGCAATTCATTAAAATGCCAAGTATCAACAAATATATACAAATACATTCCAAGTCTGTCCCCAATAAATTAATAACTACCATATGGCATTTTAAGATCATAGTAAACATCTAGGCACTTAAATATAAATTTCATCACCTTTCTTTTTTTTTAAACTTAGATTAAAATTGAGTACAACAGTGATACCATTTGATTTTTCCCCCATTGGGTCTATAGTTCTTCAACATTATCGCAAATATTTCTTAAAATGTATTTGGATTCAGTAAAAGTTAAAAAGCTGGTTTCTTCCTACCTGCCCGCCTCATGGGTTGGTGAGAATGACGGCCCTTCGTAGAGCTGCCTGTAGGCACCTCCAGGTGGAGCCGGGGAGGGAGTCCCTGGGTGCAGGCGGACCTGCCTGCCATCCTCACTGAGCTGAGTGACAGACCCCGGCACTCTCCTCCCACCACTAATATTGGTGGATAAAGTCCTATTTAAAGTGCAAATAAATATCAACAGCAACTTAATTTTTATTATACAAAGTTGGAAAGGATAGGAAGCACTAAGGAAATTTTAAAATCACTCATAAATACAACTTCTACAGGAAAGCATCCTGGCGCATTTTCAGTGTCTGTCTCAGCAGTCATTCCTTGTTCTGTGTGTCAAGATAACACTGCCCAGCATACAGGACTATCAGACAGGTTCACAGTGAGTAAAAGATTGTGAGTCAAAATAATTAAAAATCACAGACTAAACTACAGGGTAGGGGCAGGCGTGGGTCCGATTCCTCATCCCTAGGTCATAAGGACAGTGGGGACGGTAAGAAAGATGGCCTTTCCAACAGAAGAACCTGGTAAGTGTCTCAGTGTCCAAAAGAAAGTTCAGAGGCTGCTGACCAATAGGTTCCATCGTTGCTGGTGAGCCTGTGACACCAAAAAGAAGCCATTCTTTAGCGCATGCTGCACACTAACCAGGAACATGGAGGGAGCTGGGGTTGCTCATGCTGAGTCTGAACACAGCCCAAGGAGTAAGGCTCAGTCATTCTTTCTATGTGATCACAGGACCCATTTTTGTTGTTTTAACCTGAGGAATGGCTCCAGTAAAAATGTAATTTTGAAATAGATCCCCTACTTATGGATTTCCAAATATTTTATAAATAAAATAGAAACATGGTAATTAGCTGTACCTCCGCTACCCTTCCCATTGGCTAATCAGGGCGATATGCAAATTAACTGCCAGGCAAGATGGCGGCCGGCAGCCAGGCAGCTTAAAGCGAACATGAGGCCTGTTGCTTCAGTGACAGAGGAAGCCAACCTTCCCCTCCTGCCGCTGCCGGCCTCTGAGCTTGCAGTTTGAAACATTGTTACAAATATAGAAGCTAAAAAAAACCCCAGAAACCTGATTTCAGCCAGCCGGGATCTCAGAGCTAGAGTTGAAACAGTGTTTTGATTATAGAACCCAAACAAACCAGATACCTGCTTTCAGCAGCTGAGGCCTCAGAGATAAAAAGGAGCGGTTGGGAGCTTCAGTCACCTGCCAGCCTGAAAACAGCCCTCAGCCCCTCACCCAGACTGGCCAGACACCCCAGTGGGGCCCCTACCCTGAAGGGGGTGTGACCAGAGCAAACAGCCATCATCCCATCATCCAGGCTGGCCAGGCACCCAAGCGGGACCCCCACCCTGATCCAGGACACCCTTCAGGGCAAACCAGTGGCCCCCACCCGTGCACCAGGCCTCTATCTTATATAGTAAAAGGGTAATATGCCTCCCAGCACCGGGATCAGCGGAGCCGCGAGGCCTCCCGGCACTGGGATCAGCATGACAGGGGGCAATGCCCAAACCCCCTGATCGACCTGAGACTCTGTGTGTGACAGGGGCCGGGGCCACAACCTCCCTATCTGCCCTGCTCTGTTCGTGAGAGGGGAAGGCACGCCAACTTCCCAATCAGCCCTGCTCTGAGTCCAACCAGGGGCTGCACCTAGGGATTGGGCCTGCCCTCTGCCACCCGGGAGCAGGCCTAAGCCAGCAGGTCGTTATCTCCTGAGGGGTCCCAGACTGCGAGAGGGCACAGGCCGGGCTGAGGGACTCCCCACCCCCCTCCCAAGTGCACAAATTTTTGTGCACCGGGCCTCTAGTATTTTATAAACTGGGATGTGAGGAGTAATTGTGAACAATTCTTTTTACACCAAAAAAAAACTGTCTTTATTAAATAGTCTTTAAAAACTAATCCTAAATTGGTGATCTTCACTAGTTAGAGAGGAGTGTTATAACACAAAAACAGGAGTCCAGGTTCATAAAAATTTTAATTTCTATTCACACGTATTAAATTTGAAAAAGAGTAGGTCAAGATTTTTTGGTGTGTGCAGACCAAGGAAAAATATATAACCACTAGAGGCACAGTGCATGAAATTCGTGCACTTGCAGGGGATCCCTAGCCTGGCCTGCGCCCTCTCACAGTCTGGGAGCCCTGGAGGGATGTCTGACTGATCGCTTAATGGGCCTAAGCCGTCAGTCAGACATCCTTAGCATTGCCACCGAGGTGGGAGAGGCTCGCATCACTGCTGCTGTGCTCACCAGCTGTGAGTCCGGCTTCAGGTTGAGCAGTGCTGCACACTGACCATCAGGGGGCAGCTTCTGCATTGAGTGTCTGCCCCAGCGGAGAGGGCCCAGCAGTGGCGGAGTGCAGATCTGGGTGCCTTGGGGCGCTGACGGGTGTTTGACTGCGTGCTATTGTTGTGGGCGCCCCTGGCGGGAGTGACGGGGAAGAGATCGGGAGTCGGAGGTGTGGGCTGCAGCTACCCTCAAGGCTGGGTCTTCTCCCTGTCTGGTCAGCTTACTGGTCCCTTCAGAGGTGCGGGGGCTGGGGTAGGGTGTCCCCCTGTCCCTCTGAAGGTGCAGGGGCTGGAGTAGGTGTCAGTCTGTCCCCCTGGAGGTGCAGGGGCTGGGGTAGGGTGTCTGTGTGTCCCCTTGGGGGTGTAGGGGCTGGGGTAGGGTGTCTGTCTGTCCTCTTGGGGGTGTGAGGGTTGAGGTAGGGTGTCCGTCTATCCCCCTGGGGGTGTGGGGGTTGAGGTAGGGTGTCTGTCTGTTCCCCTGGGGTGCGGGGGCTGAGGTAGGGTGTCTGTCTGTTCCCCTGTGGGTTTGGGGACTGGGGTAGGGTGTCTGGCTGTCCCCCTGGGGGTGTGGGGACTGGGGTAGGGTATCTGTGCAGGGGGATTGGAGGAGCTCCCCGTGGCTGCTTCCTCTTCCTTCTTTGCAGTCCAAGCTCCTGTCAGGCGCTCTCCTCAGACCCTGGGAACTTGGCTCCTGCTACCCACCTCCTGCTGGTCTGTCAATATGCAAATTGGTCGTTACTGGGACACCATAAGGGACAATTAGCATATTACCTCTTTATATGTACAGATAGTATTTCTTTTTAAATACTAAAGTAGTTTTGTTATAAACAGCAGTATTAATTCCTGTAATTATTGATATTTAAAATAATTCAAGCCATATTCCCCTTTATTTTGCTAATTTTTATAGGAATGTTTTTCCAAAGAACACAAAGGAATGAGCAAAAATCACATTAAGAGTGTTCATATGATTTCCTGGTATTTTTAGTAAAATAGATATTTCTAAAATATACATAAAATGTTTACCTCTTCAAGTCCTTTTCTCCTACACATTAAAATGTTATTCCATTTTAATTTATCATTAGTGGTAATGTTTCCTAAGAATACAGCTTTCAGATTGTTTTCTTCCTGGCATATTTCTCAGATCATCAATTATTAACAAACATTTAACTAAATCAGTTGAATTTTATTTAAAGAAATTTTTTCATAAAGTGAGTTGCCTTAGAAATACAAGGAATCTTTTTTAATAACAGTTTTCATCATATTGCCCAGATAGAATTACCACAATGGGACAAATTATATACCTGATTTTCTTAGATGGTCAAATGTATTTGTCCCAACTCAGTGGGTGAGTTTCTCATTGCCAAGTAGCCTATAATGCTGCAGGTTTTTAAATTTTAGTTCTTTATAAATGAGTCATGTGGTCTGTGTACATGGAGCCCTTCCCAGGAGACCGTGACATCCTGAAGGCGGGCTGTGCCTAGTTTTCCCCATGGCACCCACTGCGGCACAGGCCGGGGTCTTAGGGGGGAGGGAAGGAGAGGTTTACGTGAGCACTCTGTGCTCTTGTCAGCATTTCATATAAGACAAGAAACGATCCTTATTCTTCATGTTCAGCTTCTTTATCTTCATTATCCGATTTTGTTAGGCAGGTGCATTAGTATCAGCTGCCATAGCCAATTGCCACAAACTGGGTGGCTTAAAAAATACAGAGGTTTCTTCTCAGACAGTTTTGGAGGCCAGAAGTCTGAACTCAGGGTACAGGCTGGGTCATGCTCCCCGGGACTCCTGCCTAATCTCACAGTTCTCAAACTGTGGGTCGCCACCACTTTGGGGGTCGAACGACCCTTTCAAAGGGGTCGCCTAAGACCATTGGAAAACACATATATAATTACATATTGTTTTTGTGATTAATCACTATGCTTTAATTATGTTCAATTTGTAACAATGAAAATACATCCTGCATATCAGATACTTACATTACGATTCATAACAGTAGCAAAGTTACAGTTATGAAGTAGCAACGAAAATAATTTTATGGTTGGGGGTCACCACAACATGAAGAACTATATTAAAGGGTCGCAGCATTAGGAAGGTTGAGAACCACTGTCTTAGAGGAATAAATGATTTTTCTAATGTTTGGAAGTCACTGTTAAACACTGTTATTTTCTTCTATTGAAAACTCTATTATAAAACATATCCGTCGGAGTGACTGATCCTCTGATTCCCAAAAGTATTTGCCTTCCCTGCTTGTCTCCTATCCCCTACTCCTTTCCTCCTCCACATGGCAACAGAATAACCACGTGGCCAGGTGGGCGACCGCATGGTTGACTTGTGTCTGCCCTCCAGGCTCAAACCTTCCCTCTCGTGGGCTGTTGGGAGGGTGGGACAGGCAGCTTCTGACCCATCCCAAGTCCTTCTCCATCAGCCCGATCAGGAAGGAAGTCGGACCTTCATCCTCCCACTCCTATGTCTCCCTCAGCTGGTCAGGACTTAGGTGGTGAGGAGAAGGAGTTACTTAGTAACTGCCTTAGTGACCAAGTGTATTAGGAAGCTTTTATTTCCCACATGATTTGTGAGCATAAAACAGTGAGTCGGAAAAGCTCCTGAAAGGCCACAGCCAAAGATATGATCAATGTGTAGTTAAAGGAAAGGTAACACTCTGTCCCAGGGGGAGAGGGACTTATTTTCAGTTTAGACCCAAACTGCAAATTACTCTTCTGGTCAAAAGGAGCAAAATACAATTAGGGACCTGACCCACCCCACACCCTCCCTGCCCCTCAGGGGCAGGACACACACCTGAGCTTTGTCACTTCCACTTCCGAAAAGCTACCCAGGCCTCCATGGCCTGTCAACTCCTCAAGCACTTTAATTCCTCCTGGAAGGAGCAGGATATAAATAAGTGTCTACTCACTTTCCAGCATCCAGCTCAAGTGTCGCCTTCGCTGCAGAACCGAGGGCATCCCCGACTCCCAGATCTCGTCATCCCTTCCTCTGTGCTGTCGAGTGTAACACGCGTGCTGCACCGTTTGCCTCTCACATGGGAAGACGGCCCTCGGGGCAGAGTCTCCCCTCCAGTGTCCACTAAAGTGCCAGCCGCAGACTTCCTGTGAGCGTGGAGTGAGGACCCGACTCCCCTGGCAGCTGGGCAGACACGCCCGCCTCCTCCTGTGCTTCTCTTTTCACTCCTTTCTTTTAACTGGAGACGGAGCCTCCTCTTCTTCCTGTTCAGTGAGATCATGGGTTTGAGAGGGGGAAGCATGACGCTGTGAGGGGTACCCAGCTGGGTCCCCAGGCCCCAGTCGGCGGAGGGCGCCTTCTCCCTCACACGTACCCAAAGAACGAGTCTCAACAAAAACCCAAATTTTAACAATGTTCTCTAATCACATATTTTCTTTCCGCCTTAATTTATGAGGAGAGTTGAAAAACCATAAGTACTTGGTAATATTGAACATATGATTTTGTATATGGTGCTTCAAAAAGAAGGCATTTTTTCTGTAGAAATAACATCAGTCCCTCACTGCAGTGGAATATTTGACTTTTCCTGTTTTTTACTTCATAAACAAACACATGAAGGGCACATTCAATCCTGGTTTTCTCCCTAATGTCCCAGATGGTGGTAACGTGGTGGGTAGTGAGCAGCTCTCCATTCACAGCACCTGTACGGTCACAGTGACAGAACTGCCAGGCGTGGCGGGTCATCCGCTACCACTTTTCTAACTAAACCCCGAGATTCTATTTTCTGTGAAATTGAAACTGGAAACATAAATCTTTGGACAATTCTGACCTGGAAGTCCTGTCTGTAGGTCAGCCTCTAACTTTCCATAACCAGCTAAGCAAACAGCTGACACGGGGGTGCTCCTGTCCTCTGGTCCTTCCCGTCAAGACCCACTTCTTCTGGTCAGAGATGCAAAGAGCAGCAAAGGCAGAGAGGAAGCAGGTGCAGGGAAGGGGCGGGACTGCCGGTAGCAAGCAGTGCGGCAGACCAGGCTGGGCAGGTGAGCGTTTCCCGCCACAGCTGAGGCTGGAAGGAGCTGCGGAGACTGGTCATGTTCGCAATTAGCAGGGGACTGAGAAGGACTGCAGGGCGGAATGCCCAGTTCCACAGCCAGGAGCGCGCTAGAGCTCCTGGACTCACCCCTCCCTGGTCCCCGCCATCCTCCTCTTGGCACCCTTGCACATGCCTTGTAGGGAGCTCATGTTCGCTCTTCACAAGGGACTGTAACTTCCTCTTGTGAAGTAGAACTTTCACAATTCTGTGAAAAATAAATTGTCCTGGGACAAGGCTGAGAGGGTCCATTAGGGTTCGTGTTGCCTGGCCCAGAGCTCCCAGTCCAGGGGAGCAGGTGGAGTTTGTGTGGGAACGGCCATTGGGTCAGGGGGAGCTCCTGGCATAAGGGAAGCCAACCATAGGCTGGTGGGGAGCCCAGACGGGGCTTAGAGCAAAAGGCTCTTGTAACTGGACTGTCCTCCTACTAAATGTGGGTTAGACTTAGCAGTCGGCAGCGAGAGAGCAGCCCACAAGAGGGAAAGAACAGAGACAAGATGGGGAGAGAATAGAATTGCTTGTTTTTGAGGTGCCCGGGTTCCTCACAGCTGCTCACACGTCCACACAGCCTCACCTTGTAACAAAGGGGGCTCTGGCCTCTCCTTCTTGCATGTAAAATAGCCTGTCATTCATATCCCTCGGAAGTGACAGGAATCTGCTCTGGCGACAAATAAAACGCTCCGACCTCAGCTGCTTAAAACAGCCCAGATTTCCTTCCCTTTAAATGCCCATCGCGAGGCATCACCCCCTCTACGGTGCAGATGCGAGGGCACCGGGGCATTCTCGATGCCGCGGCAGAGAGCGTCCCGGGAGGTCCTGTGTAGCAACCTGAACAAGAACAGGGCACCGCGCACGCCCACCCGGGCTTTCCCTGCTGCGCGCTCCTGTCCGGTGTCAAAGGCAATGATCGCGCGTGGAGTTGCGCGGACTCTCCAGTCTCAGGGGCACGACTAAGTCTGCGTCTGCCCACCACCGCCCCAGCACTACCTCCGGAATTAGAAACCCCGGTGTTAATTGTATTTTAATTGAATTTACTGGGGTGACATTACAATTATGTAGGTTCAGGTGAACAATTCTATACACAGCGTCTGTTTGTTGTACTGTGTCCTCCCCCCCAAGTCAGCTCTCCTTCCGTCACCGTTTACCCCTTCACCCTCCAACCCCTTTCCTCCCACGTCCAGTCTGGCGCCACCTGTAGACGCTCGTCTCTCGACTCCGCCCGGGCGGCCTCCGTCTCCCCTGGTCTCCCACCCGGAGACCCGCATCGGCGGGGACCCTCATCACCCGCACCCAGTGTTTCCGCCAGCACCTCACCGCACGTCCCCAGAGCGTCTGTCCCGCGCCGGCTGCAGGGAGGGGACAGGGGACGAGGTACCAGGG